AACATTCCAAAGGCATCCTGTTGGCTTCCCCTTGGTTTAATTGCACTTGTTTAATACTTTGAAGTCAGTGTGGTATAGTGGTTCAGAGCGGTAGATTCGTAATCTGGTGAACCGGGTTCGCATCTCCGCTCTTCCACATGCAACTGCTGGGTGACCTTGGGCTAGTCACACTTCTCTGAAGTCTCTCAGCCCCACTCACCACACAGAGTGTTTGTTGTGGGAGAGGAAGGGAAAGAAGAATGTGAGCCACTTTGAGACTCCTTCAGGTAGTGATAAATCAGGATATCAAATCCAAACTCTTCTTCTTCTTCTGTGTTAGTGTTACAGTTAAATAATTTTAGATTTACTAGACTTGCAGGTCACAACACTTTGGAGGGTAATAGTCTGGCTCCAGATTTTTGTCGGAGATGGTTTTAGGATAGCAGAACCGGTTCGGCCACACAAGGTACCATGTCACAGGGGGCACCTCAACCATGCTGTTGAGGTGTGCGTGGGGGCGAATTTTAGCGTCACACAAGACGCTGCTGAAATTTGAGACCCCAAGTCCGCCACTGTTTTTGTTGGTTTCCAGATTGCACCTGTGCCTCCCCCACTTTTTTTTAAAGCCCTGGTGGCTTAGTCATGCTGGCCACATGACCCGGAAGCTGTACACTAGCTCCCTCGGCCAGTACAGCGAGATGAGCACCGCAACCCCAGAGTCGTCCGTGACTGGACCTAAAGGTCAGGGGTCCCTTTACCTTTACCCTACTGTTTAATAAGGGATGCGGGTGGTGCTGTGGTCTAAACCACAGAGCCTAGGGCTTGCCAATCAGAAGGTTGGCAGTTCGAATCCTCGCAACAGGGTGAGCTCCTGTTGTTTGGTCCCAGCTCCTGTCAACATAGCAGTTCGAAAGCACAAGTAGATAAATGGGTACCGCTCCGGCGGGAAGATAAATAGCATTTCCTGGTTCTCCAGGCACCTGTGCTGCTCTGGTTCGCCAGAAGTGGCTTAGTCATGCTGGCCACATGACCCGGAAGCTGTCTGTGGACAAACGCCGGCTCCCTCGGCCACTAAAGCGAGATGAACGCCACAACCCCAGAGTCGTCCGTGACTGGACTTAACGGTCAGGGGTCCCTTTACCTTACCTTTACTCTTTAATAAATGAATAATGTCCATGTGTGCAAAATTCAAATTACAGCCATGTCACCTTTCTTTCTTTTTTAAATGAATTTATGTTCTGATTGCTTAAATGCTGGCCTCAAAGTGAAGGAAGGGTATGGACAGTTCTCACTGTTCATGGTCTTCTCTCACTTCCTGTTAAAAGTGGAACTTCAGAGACACCGCTGCCTATTGAGATCAAGCAGCTGCCTTCGCTGTATTCCTTTGGGCACCTGCTAACAACATTATTGGTTGGATCAGCCCAGAGGCTGAGAAATGCTGATGCGAATTTTAGTCTGTTTCAGTATTTTAACTTCTTCTCTTCTTTTTTTTAAAAATAGTTTTTATTAAGGGTTTTTTTTGTGTTCCAAAGCAAACAGATAAGCAGGAAAAGGTACATCTATTGTCTCCACTTTAAATTCATGGTCTTTTTCACAGTTTGTTTATGTTTGGTGAGAGACACTTTCATCATAGACATCTTGCAGTTGGCGGAAAGGAAACTGGGGGGTGGAGATGGAGATATTGTTCTTTCCTTCTGTTGTCTACTATTGGTGTAGGCGTAGGGTTGCCATTTATCCTCTTTTTCAAGGACATGTCTTCTTTTTCACAGGTAAAAGTTCAGTATTTTAACTTCTTGTATGTGTTGTGATTTTTTCCTTGTTTTATGGTTTTATCTTTTTGTAAATTGCTTTGAGGTTGTGTTGTTTTTAATAACCAAGCGGTGTATAAATTTTATGAAATGAAAATAATTAAATGGGATCCTTGAGTCACACACTGACTGGGCAGCTTGCCCTGAGGGCTACGTCTGCACACGGATTGAACACGCAGCGGTAGAGCATCTGACCTGTATGTGAGGCTTTAATCTATACGTGCCAGGCTATAGAATTGGCATAGGAGGAGGCACCCCACTATTAACGTGGCAGACTCCCAAGGACAAATGGTACCTGCCTCTCCCCAGGGACATTTCCCGGTTGTGCTACAATGCTCTGTGCTTAAATCTGCTACTTTAAAAGTTACAGCATATCCCTCATTTTGAAAAGTCCACAGGAGAAGATGAAAATTAAAAGAGCTCTCAGTCCTACGGATTCTTTATAATGTTAGAATCACAGAACCGTAGAGTTGGAAGGGACCCAGAGGGCAATCTATTCCAACACCCTGCAATGCAGGAATCCCAGCTAAGGTCTCCTGCAAGGTCTGTAGCTAAGGGGTGACATTTTTGCAGTTTCACTGCATTTCGTTGCAGATTCCCCGTCACAGTTCGGCTGTTTGATTGTGCTGCATGCCTACATCTTACTTCAGAACACATGTGTAAGCCTTGGTGGCTCAGACTTGGTCTTATTTGGCATTTCATGCTACTGTTCATATGTCTCCATGGTGGTTGCCGTCTCTGCTTTGTTATTTATTATTAGTATTCTTAATTAAATTTATATACCCCTGCTTCATCCGGAAATCACAGGACTGTGCTTGAAAAATGCATTCCCGGCACAAAGTGGATTATAATTGTTCCAGCAGAATGCACTTTAGATTGACAAATAGTGTAGGGCAGGGAGGGCATGGGGATGCTAAAAGGTAAAGGAGCCCTGGATAGTCATCTTGCTTCTGGTCAAGGTGAGCTGGCGTTTGTCCACAGACAGCTTTCCAAGCCAGCACAACTAAACTGCTTCTGGTGCAATGGAACACCATGATAAGTGCCAGAACACAAAGAAATGGTGTTTACCTTCCCGCTGCAGTGGTACCTATTTATCTACTTGCACTGGCATGCTGTCAAACTGCAGGTTGACAGGAGCTGGGACAGAGCAATGGGAGCTCACCCCATTGCGTGGATTTGAACCGCTGGCTTTCAGATTGGCAAGCCCAAGAGGCTCAGTGGTTTAGACCACAGCGCCACCTGCTCGCACCCGCTGTATGCATGGATGATGTCATGTGTATAGCGCTCCCCCCCCCCAATAAAGATGTGTGGATCTAGCACTGAATGTGTGTTATCAGGCAGCGTACACATCCTAAGTCGGCAGCCCTGTAGGCACTTCCTTTGGGGTAAACTCCACTGGACTCAGTAGGACAAAATGAACAATTCAAATGGGACTGAGCTGCTGCATGAGAAAGGAAGCCCACAAGACGGTTTTCTTGTACAGATGAAGGAAAAGATGGCTGTTTAGGAGATGATGTTACTTTTCTTTTTCTTTTTGGATAATCTCCTCCAGAAAGGACAAAGAGGAAGACTGGGGAGAGGAGCTTAAGGAAGAAACTGAATGTAGGGGAAGTTGACAGGAGATAGCCAGTAAGCTGATTAGAAAAGAAAGGGGCAGAGTTGAGAGTCAAGAGTGGGAGCTTAAAGGAGAGGAAGTTGGCAAGCCCGCCAGACTTTCTCCGGAGACATTTAATAAGAAGTAGATGTGGGCAGAGCAATTTAAGGACTGAGCTGCAGTTGCATTTGGAACACACAAATGTTTGATTGTGAAGTACCACAGATCCAAGTTCTATCAGCTCACTATAATCCAGGGCGGAGTGTGTTTATTTATTCAGAGCTCAGATTCATTCCCTAGCTGTGTGCCATACACACGGAGACAGAAAGAGACACACATGTTTACCACATGAGTTGGAAAGGTGCGATTGCTCTCTCCTCCTTCCTACAAAGGCAGCAGCTTGACAAACGTTTTTGTTAAGAGCACCGTGTGCCACAATACAGTTTGCTCTTTATAACATCGGGGAGAACATTATTTTCCCCCCAGAACACTTCTTGCTGGGCTCATTTAAATCTTTATGTCAGAGAGACACGATTAAGCTGAAGAAGAGGGCAAACTTTCTAGGAGCTCGGAATGACTCATTTCCGAAAGCTTCGTCATCACCGACATGAATTTGTGCCTTGGAAAATTATAGGCAATCATCTTTATATCTTTATTCCTGCTTGCTTTGTTGTTGTTGTTGTTCTTGCCAAGATAAAGGGTGACAAAACTGGCTCACGCTGGTGTTTAAAGCCCTAAGCGACGTAGGTAGCAAATATCTAAAAGATCACTTCCAACCCTTTCAGGTGTTAAAATTGGCAGAGAGAGGCCCATTTGCTAGTGAGCGGTGATGGCTACAAACTTAGACAGTTTTAAAAGAGGATGCGTGAAATTCGTGGATGATCAGGCTATCCAGGACTACCAGCTATGAGGGCTGTGTTCTGCCTCTGCTCTCAGAGCCGTATGCTTCTGAATACCAGCTGCTGAGAATCGCAGGCGGCAAAAATGCTGTTGCCTTCAGGTCCTTTTTGTGGGCTTCCCTGGGCATCCACATGGCTACTGTGAGACCAGGATGCTGGAATAGATCTGGCGGACTGTTCTTATGCTTTTAGTTCCAGCATCTCAGAAGTGCAGGGAAATGTGGTGGTGGTGGTGACTTCCTCTGAGGCAACCCATAAATTGTGGGACATCTCCTATGCCTGGTGTTTTCATAGAATCACAGAGTTGAAAGGGACCCTGCGGATCATCCAGGGAATATGCAGCTGTCTCATATGGGGATCGAACCTGCAACCTTGGTGTTATCAGCAGCATGCTCTAACCAACTGAACTATGATGATGATGATGATGATGATGATGATGATGATGATGGTGGTGATTTATTTATACCCTGCTCATCTAGCTGGGTTTCCTGGGTGGCTCCCAACAGAATATTAAAAAGACAATAAAACATGATATAGCTTCTTCCTTCTGCCAAAGGTGCGCCTCTTTACCTTTGACAGATATCATTGTGGGACGCACCTTTCCTGCTTCGTTTAACCTCCACTCCTTCTGTCTGGGAAAGGCTTTGCTTGTTTTTATAACGTATACTTGTTTTACTTGATTTTAATTGTACGATTATATGGTTATGTCACCCACCCTAGGACATCATGATGAAAGGCAAGTGAGAAGTAACTAGATAAGATGCAAGCAGCACAGAGACCTGGAAAACAGGGAGTGACTGGACCAAGCAGTGCTGATTCCAGGTTTGGGGATATATATAGGGAGGTGTCCTTGGCCAAGATGCCTTGTGTCCCCCCACCTTCCTTGTTTCTCGCGCTGCTGCCCATTCAATTTCCCTCTTTCCAAAGGCAGGATGTTGCTCTGGCTCCTCACAGTGGTCACTGCTTGCATACCCTCCAACATTTATCTGATGAGAATAGAGACATCCTATTCCAAGATGATGATGATTTTACTATTTATACCTTGCCCATCTGACCGGGTTGCCCCAGCTACTCTGGACAGCTTCCAATATACCATATTTTTCGCTCTATAAGACGCCCCAGACCACAAGACGCACCTAGTTTTGGAGGATGAAAACAGGAAAAAAAATATTCTGAATCTCAGAAGCCAAAACAGCAAGAAGGATCGCTGTGCAGTGAAAGTAACAACCCCTCCTGCTGTTCTGGCTTCTGTGATAGCTGCGCAGCCTGCATTCGCCGCATAAGACGCACACACATTTCCCCTTACTTTTTAGGAGGGAAAAAGTGAGTCTTATAGAGCAAAAAATACGGTATATATGAAAACATAATAAAACATTAAACCAGTGCTTTTTTCTGAGGTTACTTAAGTTAGCAGTACCAGCACCTTTTTTGCTTAAAAAAAAAAAGCATTGCATTGAACATTAAAAAAAAACCCTTCCCTATACAGGGCTGCCTTCAGATGGTTCGGGGGTCAGCTAACTCCATACCCTCCAATATTTCTCCAATGAAAATAAGGAAAAGTGGGGAATTCTGGGATCAAATCAGAAACCGGCTTCTGTAAATCTGGGACTGTCCCTGAAAATAGGGACAGTTGGAGGGTCTCTGCCTGCGTGCTCAGAGAGGACTGCTGAACAGGCAGCGACTGCAAGCAGGGGGAGCAACAACAGCAGGAACAGGATTCGCTGGGAGTTGGCAGTGGCTCTTGCAGTGCTGAGGGGGTTTCCGCATCATGCAGGCAATTCCCAAGCCTTGTGCTCAGGCACGCTGCTGTGCCGCAGGAGAACTGCTAATGTGCTGCGAGAAACTCATTAATAGCTACAGGGTTTTGTGAGCCCCAGTGCCCACCCACAAAGAAGGCTGTTCACAAAGGAGGCCTAGCGCTCCGGCCTTGTTCCTTTCTTTGTGGCCTCTGTGGTGGAGAGGGAGCGACGCTGCTGTGATTTGTGCATCAGATGTGACTGGAAGATTCAATCACTTCTGGTAGGCAGAGACGCAGCAAGATTACTTGCCCTCGGAAGGAGGCTGCCTGTTGCATCTCTGTGTGAGCTCTTGCCCCGGGCTGTGCCCTCCTTCCAAAAACTTGTGCACAGAAACATCTGTGCCAGGAGCAGTTCTTCCTCTCACACCTGCAGCAATGAACCAAGTGGGCCTACGATTTTTAGGCAGAAAGAATGTTATCCAGAGAATGGGGAACACTGATTTAGGCACCGTGCTTCACTGAGGTCCAGACCCTCCAAGTGTCCCTAGTTTCCAGGGACTTCCCTGATTTAGAAAAGCCATCCCGATTTCTGATTTGATCCCGGAATGTCCCACTTTTCCTTAGAATTTCCCAATTTTAATCAGAGAAATGTTGGAGGGTATGGAGTTATTCGAACCCCAAGCCGTCTGAAGGCAATCCTCTATAGATAAGTTTTTAAAAATGTTTAATGTTTTTATATATGTTGGAAGCTGCCCAGAGTGGCTGGGGCAACCCAGTAAGATGTGTGGTGTATAAGTAGTAAAATAATCATTATGGAATGGGACATTTTCACTGGATAAATGTTTCAGGGTATGTGAGGCCTAGGGACCAAAAACAAACACCTGGGTTGTGCAAGCATAAAATTGTAGGGCAGCTTACTAAGTCTGGAGCCCATAGCTCCCATCGTTGGGACTGGGTACCAAGGATGGCCGTCTTTTGTCCTCTGAGGAGGAATTTTAGGCCCCATCCCAATGTAATCCCAGACCCTCCAAGTGTCCCTGTTTTCCAGGAACAGTCCTGGTTTCTGATTTGGTCCTGGAATGTCCCGGTTTTTCTTAGGATGTCCCTATTTTCATTGGAGAAATGTTGGAGCACATAGAGTTCTGCAACACACACACCCCAAAGCCAAGGAGATAAGTAACAATACAACCTTTAGAATATATTTGAAGGCAGCCCTGAATAGGCAAGTTTTTTTTAAAAAAAAATGTTAAATGTTTTACTATGTTTTTATATAGGAAACCAACCAAAGTGGCTGGGGCAACCTAGTCAGATGGGTGGGGTATTATGATGATGATGATTGAATAGGATGTCCTTATTTTCATTGGAGAAATGTTGGAGGGTATGGAATCCAGATTCATTAAAATACTGTATTTTTCGCTCCATAAGACGCACCTGACCATAAGGCACACCTAGTTTTTAGAGGAGGAAAACAAGAAAAAAATATTCTGAACAAAACAGTGGATGTATGATTTTTGTGGTTCATGCTGTGGCCACAGACATGTGATTTGACGGTGAGTTTGGGGTAGCCCAATGCAAAAATCCTGAGAATCCATGTGGATCCGTGCTTTGTAACCATGTTTTTACGCCATTGCGGCCCCTGGCAACAGTGGGTGCATGATTTTTTTGGTGCAGGCTGTAGCCATGGACATGCTATGTGATCTGATGGTGAATTTGGGGTGACCCAATGCAAAAATCCTGAGGATCCATGGGCTTTTACCTCCCCCTCCCAGGCAGCCTCCTTTATCGCTAGCGTCCCTTATCTCTCTCCCAACCCCACCGAACAGCTGCTTCCTTTCAACACTCCCTCCCCTCTTGTTTGCCTTAGTGTATTTTCCTTAGCTGGAGCAGTTTTTTGCTCCTCCTTTTCTTCTAATTTCTCTCCTCATTGATTTAGACTTCCTGTCTCCTCTCCTTGCAAGTTTGCTGTCTTTACCTCCCCCTCCCAGACAGCCTCCTTTATTGCTAGCGTCTCTTCTCTCGCTTCCGATCGCTTCCGATCAGCGGCTTTGTTTCAACACCCACTTCCCACTTTCAAAAAAAAGAGCACATGATCTGCTTTTCGCCCCTGGGCAATTCGGCTCCAGGGACCACGCATTCGCTCCATAAGATGCACAGTCATTTCCCCTTACTTTTTAGGATGAAAACAGTGCATCTTATGGAGCGAAAAATATGGTAAACAGAGAAGGTTTTCCATTGGCCTCAGTAGAATGCGGATTTGTATAATGTGCTGAAACTCCCTTTAGGGTTACATCCTTTGAACATAGGAAGGTGCCTGCTACTGAGTCAGATCATTGGGTCACCTAGCTCAGTATTGCAGCAGCTCATCATGGTTTTTGATGGAGGACATTCTCATCCCTACTTGGAGATGCCAGGGACTGAACCTATGAAAGTTTCAGAATTATAGGCTGGCCTGGCAATGCTGCCATTTTGCCTTTTGGTAAAAGGCCTCCTTAGTTGCTCTGCTAAGGGGAGTAGAAGTGCAGTTTGAGTGACTTGACATAATAAAAAGGTAAAGGTACCCCTGCCCGTACGGGCCAGTCTTGACAGACTCTAGGGTTGTGCGCCCATCTCAATCAAGAGGCCGGGGGCCAGCGCTGTCCAGAGACACTTCCGGGTCATGTGGCCAGCGTGACATCGCTGCTCTGGCGAGCCAGAGCCGCACACGGAACGCCGTTTACCTTCCCGCTGGTAAGCGGTCCCTATTTATCTACTTGCACCCAGGGGTGCTTTCGAACTGCTAGGTTGGCAGGCGCTGGGACCGAACAACGGGAGCGCACCCCGCCGCGGGGATTCGAACCACTGACCTTTCGATCGGCAAGCCCTAGGCACTGAGGCTTTAACCCACAGCGCCACCCGCGTCCCTTCTTGACATAATAAATAGCCATTAAAATGTTATCAGCAACATCTGTTCCACCCATTAGGAAATAGCTCATGCATTTAAAAAGATTTTTAGTGAGTCAAGAGCTGTGATAATGCAAAATAAGACTTTCCCCTCATACATTTACTCTTCTCAGTCACAGATTTTTTATTTTCATTTCCCTGTCCTTCCATATACCAAGAGGCAGCACTAGGATACAGTCAGGCAGAAGAGGGAGTTACCAAGCCTTGGGCTCGGTCTGGATAAAATTAAATTTTTTACACCTCAGGTTCAGTGGGGCAGATTTAAGTAAACGGGATTGTGCTCCTCACATTGTGCAATCAAAGTTCATGGCCAAAGGGGGGGAAAAGTGAAGATGAAATGTAGACATCCTGTTCCAGTTTCTAAATATAAACCTGAATGTTCTCCCTCCCCCCTCAAAGGAGCTTATCACCTTGATCCCTATAGATATGTGCAGCTGAAACAACATAAAGAGCTACAGCAGAATGCACTGATAAAATGAGTTTTATCTTTCTTGACACACCTCTTATTCCCACAGCCCCATTATTAAAGGCCATTATCAAAATTCAGAAACTGTTACTAAGAACTATTTGAAAATAGAATAGTCTAGAGGGGGGAAATCTGGTAAAAATGAGTTGAAGAACCGCAGTTGGCATTAGCCATAGTTCTGCTGATTTGAAAAATCAACAACCCTTTCCACTGGGAATCTGGTGCAGGTCTAACACTCTATCCCATGTGGCAAGATAACCGTGTTTTATTGGGGTGCTTCCTGAAGGGCAGAACAGGTCTCTGGAACTGCAGATTCAGTCATTCTGGCAAGTCTCCTCTGTCTTTGGTTTGTTGCATGACAGAGGGAAAAGGAGCAGGTCCCTTGCAGTTTGTGTCCACGCTAGAGAGGAAACATCACCTACAGCCTGGCTGTTTATCATGGAGTCTGATTGCTTGGGGCAAGAAGGCTGGTTTGATGCATGCAAATAATAATAGTAATAGTAATAATAATAATAATAATAATTAATTTATTTATACCCCGCCCTCCCCAGCCAAGACCGGGCTCAGGGAAGCTAACAACCAATAATAAAAACAAGTTGATTAAAATACAATTTAAAAAGATTAAAATACAACATTAAAACATTAGGATGCAGCCTCTTCACAGGAGGAGAAAG